TTGACCTGTGGTATGCAGAAAGGAAATTCTGTCTTGGTTCTAATTTCTGTCTTGGGGAAATCAAAATGTTAATTATATACAGAATATATAGTATTTAATGCAGTGCGGTTCCAAAGAGAAACCACTGAACAAAGTGTCATTATTTTAATGTTAATGAAGGACATTTCCTGGGTTGTTTGCTCATATGTGACTTTATCAAGTAGAGGAAATGATACTCATGGTAAGTATAATAGATGAAGATTCTTTGATCATTGGAGCTGTGAGGTAGGACTGAGAGAGTTCCTCTGAGGCACAGACAGTACGATGTGCCAGGCCTGCGCTCCTCTGGTAATTTCCAGTGGCACAGAGGTTTGGATACAAGTTTCTTGCTGGAATGTAGAGCCAACACTCAAATGTGAGTGGGAGATGATCTATCTAGAAATATCCTTCTTCTGCCATGTTTTTTTTTGTTTTGTTTTTTTTGTTTTTTTTTAACAATGGAGGTTACTGCTTTGGAAGATTTAGAGGCTTAGCTTCCACCTTTTAGCAGCTTCTTCAATCACTGTGCTCAAAGCTGCTATAATTTTAAACAGCTATGGGGAATAAGGGCTATGTGCCTTTTCTGTGTGTTTATCGCATCCAGCAAGTAAGATGTACTGAAAGTCTTGCATCATCTTCAAGCACGACTTTTGGCAGGTGATGAGTTTACATTTGATTTCCCAGCTTGTTGTTGATAGTGAATTTGGCTAGATTACGATGAAGACTTTGAGACATACAGACTGTTCAAGTATTTGGCAACTTCAAGATGAAATAGCTTTAGCTAGCATTCTATATAATGTATATACAATTCAGGGGAACCTTACAGATCAAATGTCAAGCTTCAGAAAAAATAATACTCAGCAAAAGGCATTAAAAGGATAATTTGCAATTTACAAATCGGTCCTATAGATTGTGCATTGGCTTTGATTTCATGGATTGATTGTGAAATGGGATTATCATATAGTGGAAATGGACATTGAGGTAATAGAAAGTCATAGAGTTTAGGGTGAGGAAAAGCTTTGGTTACTTGTTGGGTCTGACAAGACAGATAAAGCACTGAATGTATGTACATATTGAGTAATTTGAAGTTTGAGGATATTTTCATTATGCTTCAACCTGGAAAGCAACTGAACAGAGAAACCAAATTAGCATTGATGATGGTTCATTAGCAGAAGCAAGGTAAAAGTTTGAAAGACAGTTAAAGCTTTGCTGAAATAGGTTTCGTTCTGTGTTTAGGGTGTGCGCAAAGGAAGGTGAGAGAAATTCACTTGTGAGAATTTGTGCTAATGACATACATTGACTCTAATAGTGAAAGTTACTTTCAGGGAAGGATGAGTAACCAGGAGAGGTGAGAGGCAGCAGGGAAGAGCAGCAGCGACAGGATCCCAGATGAGCCTCCTCTGGGGTGTCTCTCCCAAGAAGCAGGTGGTGATGATGGAGATGATGGTGAAAGGTTACAGAGCTGCAAATGGCAGACCTTTAGTGTTACTGAGGTTAAGACACTAAGGCTTCACAGGTACTGACAATTCGGTTGATAAGGTTTGTTGAGAATTATGCAAAAATTCAAAAATGCTTTTGAAAGCTCGAATCAGCTTCTGGTTTCAGGTGTAAACTGTGTAAGACTCTATGGCTTTCTGTGACTTCAGCTAGGTGCCAAAGAATACTTAGGAATTTTTACAAAATTTTGATTAATCCTTTAAACACACTCGAAGCTGTTATTAAATGAGACTCAAAGTATAATATTTATATGGTATTAGAGTTCTAAATAATAAATTTATAGGATGAGTAAGGTAAAATGAATTGAGGCCTAATAGAGAATGCCTGCCTGAAGGAAAATCATCTTGCATAAACATGATCAATATTTAAACAGCCAAGGTAATTCTATCACCATGAAAATGCAGATTTTTACCATTAAGAAAGTGTAAATTTCAGTGTTTGTTATATAGCTGCATAACTTCTATTTTAATTCTTCAGTATGGGATTGAAGTTTTGGTATAACAAAATGTTGTTTGAATTACCAGCATATTCAATATTTATTTTCTAATGACTGAATCATAATTACAGATCATTGTGTACCACTCATACGCTTAAAATAATCATGAAATGAATGTGATTCGTGAAACCCTTAGCAACCACAAGGCTTCCTGTGCATATCCTCAGACACAGCAGTGACTGAGAGGTAATTTCATAAAACACATTAGCAGCACTGAAAATGTGGTATATCTTTCCTGCATTCCTTGGTAACAGAATCTGTTGAGAAACAGCACCTCTAATTAGAAGAAATATTGGCTACCTGCATTTGAAACTGTGTTTTTTTATGATTTCAGGCAAGTGAAACACATCAAGGTGTGGGTCAAGAGCTGTGGGTTCTAATCCTTGTTCTCCATTGACTGACCTTGCCTTGATTGGCAAACTGTCTGTGTATCGGCATATTTTTTCACTACCATAGTGTAAAAAACCTTGAAGTAGAGGTTAACCATCTTGAAGTCATGTTATTTGGCCACTTCGTAACTGCAGGTAGGAGCAGGGGAACAGGAACAGCTACCCAAAGGGATCACTCCTGAATCTTTTGTTACCATGTTTGGGATATTTCTACAGTTTTTCTCATCCATTTGTATGATCAGGTCTAGTCTTTTATAGCCATGTATTACAAATATTACAACTGTATCGGGCATTTTCCTTTTTCATAGTCATTATTTTTCTCCAATCTTGCAGAAAACACAAAAAAGGAATTCTATCCTTTGCCATAATAAAAGATTTCTAGCAATCCATATATTATAATTTTTTACTTGAAAAAGTAAGAGCATGGACTTTGTGCAAAGTTGATTTTTATTATCGCAAGTTGTTTTTTATTATTGATTTACATTATTTTAACGTAGTTGTTGGAGGGAATGGTGTATTTAGATAAAGATTTATTTAATACATGCATGTTCTTAGTAGAAAAGTGTAAAATTCAAATGATACTAATTCACATAAAAAATAATTGTAATTTGTGCAATTTATGTAGGGAGTTTTAGAATTCAAGTGAAACAGTGATATGTTTTATTTGTTGTGTCTTTTCCAAGATGAAGTTTTGCTGTTCCCATTTTGGTTTTCTCCTAATTCAAATATTTTACTGAATCTCAAGTGTGTAGGTATGTAAAACAACTTGGATTCTGGGGTTGGGCTGTTTTAAATAGATGAGCTGAACTTACCATTGTTAATAAATTGGAATTGCTGGATATTAGCCCTTTTTTCAGAGTGTGCACATTTGAGCGAGGGTAACTTCTGCCTTTGAAAGCTGAGCAGCTACTGGGTGAGCAATGCTTTCTACAGGTTCTGAAAATTATTCAACTGATTATTACAAAAATCACTACAAGTCGCAGAACTGGTTTTTCAGTTTTAATTCTAAATAGTTTTAGATGAAAATTTCTCACTTCCCCAAAGTTCTTAAAAAGTAGTGGTGTTTAAACTGTAGCTAACCATATTGTCAGCGTATGGTTACTCTCCTCCTCTTCCTTTTAATTCCACATTACATATCAGCCCATTTTTGCTTTGCAATGTTTATTTAGGGGGTATAATAAAGATTACAATTATCCACTTCATTTTCTTATTTAATATTAAATAGTCAAACAAAACATGAAACAATTGTTTACAGAAAATAATCATTTTTTCTGTCCTTAAACTTTAACACGTTGACAGTATTTGCTCATAATCTTTTCAAGGAATTACTACATTTGGCACACAGCTAGGCTTTTCTCATCTGGCTCATGGGAACATAATGATTTACAACGTGTAATTAGACTTGACTTAACCATCACAGATAATTTTTTAAACTGGCATTGTGATTATTGAATATTAATATGAATAACTTTCTCTGTAATTAGCATTAGCATGTGTTTATTCTTTTCAAAGAATTACCCATGTATTCATTGCCCATCTTCAACAGTGACTTCCATTAATTTAAAAATATAATAAGGAGCAGGGATAGTGTACTTTTTACCGTTTACTTCCCCTTTAATAGGATCTGTGGCAAAAGCCAGCTTTTTTTGTACAAAGTTTCCAAAACAGTTTTAAGTGAAGTCCAGATGTGTAAGTCAGAAAGCTGTTTCCTTGCAGTGCTTGATGGTGGGGAGACTGAGATGGCACATAAAGGTAGTCTTTAGGAAAGCAGACACGGAGTCTTTTTCTCAGGTTCAGAAGTTAACTTCAGGCTGAATTTTCCTCTTCTGGTTCTTGAAGACTGTTAAGCTGAACCTTTATCTCTTATTTATTCTCAGTGATCACTAGGAATTTATTTTCCCTTGGAAAAGTAAAAGTCAGTCTTTAAAATCTGAAATAAAAATTGTCCAACTCATGTGCCTCTCTACCTTACAATCTCCCTTCTTAAGTAATCCCACCTCTGACACCTTTCTTTGTTATCTTTTTAATCTGTGTTTAGGACAATTATTCAGTATTTCCAAACATATTTCCCTTGTTGAACTTTGCTTGATTGCATAGAAGAAAACATTTTCTCATGACAACATTACAAAAAGTCATTTTTAATCACTGATTCCTTATCTATTTTTTTTTGTCTGTATTTACTGAAACTGTTATAGGAAGCCTTCTAAAATAACCCCAAATCTATCCTCAGTTAATTTGCTATAGCCCCTGAAAGTTACAGTAGATTTGTCAAAACTTTAACTCCAATGTGGGAGAATTTTAGCAAGGAAGGAGGGAATCATTGAGCTCTGATTTTGATATTGTTAATCAAGAACATGCTACTCTGGCTCCTGGTAAAATTCTCATTTACTCCTGGTTTGCCTGTGTTGCTGGGTCAGCCTCAAAGCTTGTTGCCCACAGCTGGACATAAGCATCGGCTGCACGGGGAGGTGAGGACCAGGGAAACACTGGTCCTGGGAACCTCACAGATGGCACGGTTAATGGTAGGTAGGAGCAGAGCGCATTTGAATTCTCTGTAAAAGCATTTAATACCACAGCACTGTTAACGGTGTTTACCCAATATGACAGAAGGTGGTTCTCCACCCACTCCCTTTATTAACTGCAGATGTCTCTTTCTCCCATACAAACCAGGGCTGCTAGTTTTAAAATCCAGTTTTCAGTTGTCCTGAGAAAAATAATCTGTTTCTTTTTCTCTATAGATCTCTTGCTTTCATGTTGTGTCACGTTAACTCTGTGTACAGTTTTCTTTGCATCTTAAACCAGTTCTAACAGTCCATGTTTCTATTTCACAAACTAGCCCCTCCAGTTTTTTCTTGTTGCTGTCTATTGTTTCTTAGTAGCACAGTTCACAGGCAGGGTAATGCAATTAGCTCCAATTTTAAGTAGCATTTCAGGTTTTCTAATGGTTTTTCTCCTGTTTGTTTTCAATTTATCACACTTAATTAAAAGAAAACAAACAAATAAATAAAAATCCAGCCCGATACAGCTGGAGTAATAATTCTTTTTTGTTACATTTTCTTGTCCTTTTTACAGTTTTCTTTGTCTTGTGGAATGCTGGGCTATGAGTATATTAACACTTGTTGGTTTGTCTGGCATATTTATTCTTTACTAAAATGTTAGTTCCGTTACAGAAATGTCAGCTCTTAAAGTCTGTGGTTATTTCACTTTAGTGCACAATATGTTGAATATATTCAGATCATTCATATACTGTTACAACTCACTCAATTTTGGTGTGTTGGAAGGCCATTTTTCTGACTTCTAAGTTAGACCTCATGATTATCACCTGACAAGTGTCTGATCAGCAATGCTGTGAAAGGATTTTATTGCTGTGTCCAGCTTCCTAGTGGGAAGTCACACTGTAGGTAGAGACAGATTTTTCTTGGAAGCACACAGCAAAGGTTGGGAGCCACAAAGGACACTCTGGTTAGATACTGGGAAAAAAGTAATCCACCATAAGGCTTGTTAAACATTGAAACTGGTTGCCCAGAGGTTTTGCGAAATCTCCATGCATTCAAAGCTCAAGTGGAAATGCCTCAGAAATTTGATCTAACTTTGAAGTTATACCTAATTTTGAGGTTTGCCCTGCTTTGAGGAAGATCTTGAATCACGTGGAGGTCACTTCCAAACAAAATTATCCCCTGGTTCTGTGACAGATCTGCACTAAGTCAGCTACAGAGACTCTTGAGGACATCTCCACAAACCATGGATGCATGAGATGACCAGGTCATTGGTCTTCATTGAATTATATGGATTTTGTCTTTTTGTGATTCTGTAACCTCTTCAGAATCATTTTAACTTGCCTGAGCAGCTTTTCCAAATTGCCTGGTCTGATTTTATGTTCTGCGTTCCTCCTAGAATATGAACTATAACTATGGAGCAAGTCACACCAGTTGACTGCCACCTTTGCAGCGAGATACTGCGTGGGCATCATGGCTTAGAGGCTCCCCCAGGGCTTCCTTTCCTCCTGCAAGCATAAAAATGATTCCACATATCTTGCATCTGGTCTCTGCCCTGAGAAAACTTATAACCATTGGAAATCGTAGGATTTGAAGCCATTTTGAGCTATTATTGTTCTGCTATAGGCTAGCCCCCTGCTGTGGAGTGTCACATTTTTAAATTTGTTTATGTTTCCACTTTGGAAACTATGGTTTGGAGACATGCTCAGTCAAACACAGAGGGAACAAGTGCAAGTAGTAGAACCACCCTACAACTATTCGCAAGTAGTGGCAATGATGCTGCCAGACTCACCCTGGGTATTTTGGTGTTGATGCTCAGGAGGGGTTGTGTGTGTGTTTGTGTGCATTACTGAGGAGCAGGCATCCAGGGAGAGTTACAGTCAGTGTGTTGGGTACTGCAAGGTGAGCATCTATGAATTAACTTCTTTGGTCTACAGGTACCTCTGAAGTGGCAGGAGTTATGTATTGGAAGTGTCTCCCCAAGCATAAGGTTGTTTCTGTGTAGGAGATGTGCTGCCACAGTATTTCAACCACCCACTTCGCTAATCTGAGAAAAATTTTTAACACTAAATTTTCCATTCCATTGATATACAGTGCACTGTGCAAAATACCAAATAAATATGGTTGCTAAGAGCCTTACTTGTGTTATGTTCTATGCTAATGTGAATTGAATTAAACCCTTAGAGAACTGAGGAGGCTGGTCTTAAAACTTCATTTGCTAAAATTACCCTTGCAGGCTTGGACATAATTATACTTAGGCCAAATACATATAAAGACAAAAAATATGAAAGTGATTTTGTGACGGAATAGTACTTTCCAAGTTTATGAGAGACTTGTTTTGAATATCACTGCACTTTTTTCTAATTCATACATTTCAATTAAGTCCAATCAAATATTGTATATGCCCAATAAAAATAATATATAGTATATATAACATTATTATATAACATATTGCATGTTTTTATATATGTTCTTTCACATCACAAATATTATTTTTTTCCCTGAAAGTCAAGTCAGCTTAGTGCTGACTCAATTTCAGTCCACTTTTTGACTAAATGCTTGTTTCACATTTTTTTTCAGATTTCATACACATGAAAAAGACTATTTTTCATAAAAAAGAAAGTTAAGTTAAAATAACGATGTATCTTTAATTACAGAAATCTTTATCTTACATGATACAAAACTATAGATTATTTCAACTCAGAGACATAACACAGAAAGAAGGAAAACACCCATACTTCTTTATGCATCCATTTAGTCACAGCTCTGCACAGTTACTGTTGAGGTTTTAATTTAACTCCAATGCTGTGAATACTCTGTGTGGTTGAGCAGTGTCAGAAGTGTTCTTCTCATTAGAGAGTAGGAAAAATCTGGTATTCAAGGGGTTTATCTGTATAAGATTATTGCTACAGAGGCGTGAGTTCATGCATTACAAAATCCCCTTTGGGCGTATCCGTGTTTGTAATGTAAAAGAATGTTCTCAAAACTAAAAGTAAAAGCACACTTGGGAAAATATGTGGATTTTTCTAATGCCATAGGCACCACCTTCCGTCTGGTATAATGATGAATTTCCTGTAAATGCAGAAACAATGGATCTCACCATTAGCTCACACTAATAAGAAATACAAATTCTGCAGCAAAAACATACTGGAGACATAAATAAAAATTAAAGACATTTAAATGATGCAAAATCAGTATATAGTGGATATTAAAAATTATAATCAACCTTCTAAGCACATAAAAATTATAGTAAGACAACTTGCAAAGTTTTATTTATTATTTAAACAAAATTAGAGACTTGGGCATAATAGTAATGTCACAAATTAATAAGAAGTTGCTCTGGCAGTAGTTACTGAGTCCTCTCTGACTTACTGGAATGTATATGCCTTTTCTTAATAGATCTTATAAATTTAGCAAGCCGTAAAAACATATAACTGGTCATTGTTATGTGCATTCTAAAACCAGATTTTTTTTTTAAAATAAGACAGGTGATGCTCTCTTGCTTCTACATTGACTATTGTCTTGGTTCCAATATTTCATACAGAAAGTGTGGTTACTAAAATTTGATTTAAACAATGCACTGATATTTCTATTTTCTTTTTCACAGATTAAGATGCTTGGTAAAGCAGCTGGAGAAGGGTGACATTAATGTGGTGGATTTAAAAAAGAATATTGAATATGCAGCATCTGTGCTGGAGGCAGTTTATATTGATGAAACCAGGTAAGTCTGAAGGGGGAAAAAGAAAAGAAAGGGTGTTGGGAATCACATTTATAAAATTTGGTCTTTGCATACAATTGTAACTGCTCTTAGGTCTTTTAGTGACAAGGTTAAAGCAAGTAAGATTCTAAAGGTCAGATGTGACCACTGTCTGGAGAGTTTGCCTAGTTCTAGTCTCCCTCACTTGTCAAATGTCCACAGTATAAAGTCATAAGAATTTTCTGAACAATGGATTTTCTTTCCCCCACAGGCCATATACTGATAATCGTGCTGAGGACTGTATCACTGAAAAAAATGGTCTGTTTTGGAATGCAATACTCTTGGATATGTGTCAGAATATTATGATCTGTCCTGTAAATACATAAATATATGAAAAGCTTTGATTTATTTTATAATGTTTGATGCTTTGTTTATTATTATTGTTATTGGCAGTATTACTGGCAATCATTTTTAATGTGGGTTGACTCCAATTAAATTGGAAATTCATAAGCGTTTGGCTTCTTGAAAAAATTTTAAGATACATACTATACTGAAGTTAACTAGCTAACTTAAGGGATTTTATTTCATTGTACTGGCCTCTTTAAGTTTTTTAATTTTTTTTTTTTTAAGCAGAATGGTCATGTAAAGATGTCTGCCAAAACTTCAGTATTGTTGGAGCATGCAGTGTATGTCTTGGTTCCATACTACATTTAAGAAGTCTGCCATTGTACTGATTATTTCATGGACCTAACACTCTCTCTCTCTTTCTGTCCCGCACCCCTTCCAGCAAATCTACATATTTGATACAGTGCTTAAATGCTGCTCTAAATTTTTACTTTTCCTTTTATGCATGTGATTCAGACACCAAACCTTGCCTGTCAGGAATTTGGAGCATCTACTGTTGGGCACTAGAAAGCCTACCCATTCGAAAACAGAAGAATGACAACAATAGCAAATGAAGCTGGTACCAGTGGTCCATTTTTCAGAGATTACATAACAGACTAGGCTGGCAGGATCACTTATACTGGTGTCCTGCTGTCAGAGTGCATGCATGTCCAATTCTGTAGAAAGCTGACAAAACTCTGGTAACAGGGAAGACTTTCCTGAGAAGCCTCCCAGCCACAGTACAGTTCTTAGGGACACTTTCAAAAGTGTTGTTAGTGATCCCAACTTAAATACACAATCTGAAAAGCATTAGGGACCTCAGTGACTTCAAAAGGGCTCACACATTTTATGGAGATGTTTACAGATTCAGTTAAATTAAACTTTACTGAGCAAACTTGGGCTTGAATCTTGTGTGACTTCCTGGGTACCTGGGCTTTGTTAGGAAACTGAATGAACTTGAATTAAATATTTTAAAATTTTGGTAGTTAGTATGCACTGTGGATATATTTATATCAGTTTTGCTGGCTGACAATTTAATCAAGCTTTTTTACATCCAATCAAGGGTTGATTTGTGGATTTACATTAGTTTATAGTCGTATTTGTAGTTAAATCGATAGGGGTCCTTAGGGAGACAGATACAAGAAATCATCAACAAACTTCTCTTTGGGCTTATGTTGCCACAATAGAGGCCATAAATTCTCATTTTTCAGCGATTGTTCTAAACATAAATCTTGTTGGCTCATCTCACGTAGTCAGGAAGCTTCAGAATGTTTGCAGTCCACTCTCTCCTGTATCACAGGATACTGTGTCCCCGCCAGTGGGCAGAGCTTAAGCATGTCTTTGCCTTAATAACTGTGGGAGCGATGTCAAAGCTGCATAGGTGAGAAGGACATAAACCACTGGTTATTCCTTCTGTACACCTTCCAAACACTGTGATTAAATAGGTATGGTATTCATAGCTCTTTCTGAGTGGTAGCACCAGGACAATGAAAACAGCGTAACATTTACTTAGTTTCTAAACTGAGGCAGCCTCTGTGGAAGTGAACAGTATTGTTACAATGAGGAATCCAGTCTTCCTGGCTCTGTGCGGGAGCATCAAGACAAGTAAGAGACATTTCACACACAGGGAAGACTGTTACACCTCAAAATACGCACCAGCAACAGGTGTGTTGTTTTTGCTATAAGCAAATCTTTAAATAAGCTAATTGACCTCATAGGACTTGACAGCAGGATTATTAAACTACCCAAATGAAAATAAACTTATATAATTTTATAGTGGCTTGGAAGATTTTCATAGTCCTCAGGCTATTTTATTGATTGTAGGGGCATTATGACCTCATAGTGGTGACTATTTATTTTCAAAAATTCTACCTCAGTGTATGGATAAAGCTTTTGCTCTTCCCTTGCTCAATGCACAACAATGTTTAATCATATTTATTTAGTGTATTCAATATTTTGCAGAATAATCTGACTTTTCACTGTACCAAGTCAGAAAGGAAATACTTTAGACAGGTATCTTGTTTTGCTTTGATTTATTGAATACTTCTGTTCTCCAATGCAATCTCAGAGTTCGTAAACCTACCAAATTTTGGTAGCATTCCTTATATAAGTATGCATTAAGCATATGGTTTATGTATATCTTTCCATACCTATAACTATATTTCTGGAGTATGTGCATGTAGACATATAAAACAAATTTTCTTGCCCATGTTACTTATGATATAAATAACAGTTAAAAAATTAAATTACTTTAACGAAACCTAATTTTCAACTTTTATTCTTTTCTTTTTAGTGGTTTGCATTTTACGCCCCATATTCTTCATTTAGGTTCATAAGTTTGATTTTGTATTTAATTTCTTTTCCTTGGACTAATTCGGTCTCCATGAAATTCAAAATAGAGTGATGCGGTTTTTGAACCCGGTGGTCTCTGTGTTAAATTTGTGCTGAAAATATAGGCTGAGCCTTCACTTCTTATTTGTACAATATTATGTATAGCGCTGTTTTAAATTTTGACACTTCTCCCATTAAAAACAATTTGTAAAGTATTTATTGTGTAGCAGAGAGAGACTGTAGTTGCCACCGTGGAAAACTGCAAAGATAATCACATTTTAAGTAGCATGACCAGTATTCTGTAGTCTAAATCTACACTAAAACATTTAAAGATAAACACACAAAGAAGGGTTCCTCATCTTCTGGGAAGCTAATCCTTAAGGAACAAAAGCAATGTATCATTGAGTCAAATGGCAATGGAGGTGAGAATTAGCTTGTGTGTTTACATTTGTCCTTGTTGCCACCAAAGAATACAGGTTCTTTGTCCTGCACAGAGCTACCGCTGTTGGGAGTCTGGAAATGAGTTAACTGAACTCATTAGTAGATTAGAAAGAACAGTTTAGTTCATAATCAGAATGCTTCATTCCT